CGGCGGGTAGAGGCGACCGTTATCAGAGGGCGGGGGGGAGAGGCGACCGTGGTCAGAGGGCGGCGGGTAGAGGCGACCGTTATCAGAGGGCGGGGGGTAGAGGCGACCGTGATCAGAGGGCGGCGGGTAGAGGCGACGGTTATCAGTAGAGACGATGTTCTGCAACAACAAGCCTTTTTTTAATTTCTGATTTTATTGTGGAAAACTCCTGACAGCAGAACGGGTCCCAGATGAGGAGGCGACGCTGGCGTCCCCGTACAGAAGGCCCCCAGGCTAATGGATTGCAGCTGAGCATAGATCTTTCCTGCCAGACGCTGAGCTGTTTTCCCTCTATCTGACATTTCATTGGACTCTACTCCTCCTGTTTGGCTAACCCAGATTATTTCTGCTCCCAAACTGGAGAATAAGAAGAGAGATTTATTTCCTCACTTTTTGTACACAGGACGATGATGTCATGGCTTCTCATGATTCTGATTGGTTCTGATTAGGTCCAATAAAGATAAATCATCCCTTTTTTTTAACCAAATAGATTAAATAGAAGAGAATTAAATAGATTACAATAGAACAGCACAGAATAGAACAAAAATAGAATACAATTAAATAGATTACAATAGAACAAAAAATAATAGAATGAAATAGGTTAAAATACAACAATAGAGACTAGAGTAAAATACAATAAAACAAAATAGAATAAAATACAACAGAATAGTACACAAGAATAAAATGGAAAAGAATTAAATCGAAAATAACAAAAGCATAGAATTGAATAGATAAGAATAGAAGATGATCAAATAGATTATAATAAAATAATTTTGGTTCTGGTAAAAGCAGCTAGAAGCTTTGATCAACCATTTTCTTACACAGGACGATGATGTCATGGCTTCTTATGATTCTGATTAGGTCACATAAAGAAATATCATCCTGTTTTTTTTAACCAAAGCTAAACATTTGCTCTTCTTCTCCCTGACTTCATTGCTGCACCTCATCCTTTAGATTTCAGTCTTTATTTAAGTGGCTCTTTTAAAGTCCTGAAACCAATCAAATGTAGCATCAGCTAACAGCTGAGAACAAAGCTGCTGGACGAAAAGTCCCTTTTTCATGGCGGACCTACTGCTGTTGCCAACCCTTTGACTGGAACTCTTCACTTGGCTCCTTTGGTTCAATGGGATTATGTTTTGGAAAATAAGCAGACTCTTTTTCATGTACTGCTGACTTGTTTCTGACCTGCAATGAACGTGTCTATCATGGCCTTGAAGCCCAGAGAGAAACCACCATGACAGAAAATGACGAGGTATTCCCTTAAACCTTCCATCTCTCTATATTCCCTCACAGTCCACATAAGATCTGCGGAAATCCTACTGCAGCCTCATTTCTCTTGAAATTATTTCACACACCGACACTTAGAAACATGTTTTCTCCTTAATAATTTATTTCCATCTCCAATAGTAAGTGACAGAATTAGGACAGTTAAATAGGGAACAGGTCTGATGAAGACATCTAGGAAGAGTTTCTGTATCCAAATTACCTGAGCAGTTATGTATTTACACAAAGCTCTGTCATGAGTCAAGTAGGGAGCTCACACGGTTGGCGTTAGGCCTCAAAGTTGGCCATGGGTGAAGCACTGTTACAGGTGAAACCCATGGTGGGTGATTTGGTGCTTTTTTACCGCCACTCTGGCGTTGTCTCCGGCAGTTGCTTGGGCGTACGGTTTGGCCACGGCCTCAGGTTAGAATACATTCAGAAATGTGGTCTTGGAGTCCACGCCGGCAGCGTTCCTGGCCGTGCAGCGGTAAACTCCAGAATCTCGTTGGGTTGGATTCTGGATGATGAGGGAACCTTGCGGGTGGAGATACTTGTTTCCGAAAAGTCGGGGCTGTGCGCTCACGACCATCCGCACCTTATCAGGCGTCTCCCAAGACACCTCTGCTGCGGGGGTCCCGGCGGTGGCACAGTTCAGCTGAACGGCAACTCCGTGTTTGGCGTAGGTCACAGAGGGCGGCCCCCGGGTAATTCTGGGTTGGTTAGCGACTATTTTTACTAAGACCGAAAGCAAAGAGCTTCCGTATTCATTAGCAGCTCTACAAACATAGGCCCCTCGGTCGTAAATGGAAGCTTGGCGAATGGCAATGGTGCCGTTTTGCAGAATAGAATACCTTCCAGCGTTTTGCAGCCTGTTAAGAACGACCCCGCTGGGTAGGGTCCATGTCAGTCTGAGCGGCTCCCCAGTGGTTTGACAGTGAAGGAAAAGGGTCTCCCCATCTAGGACGCTGACAGGAGAGATGTATCTGTTCAGGATCTGAGGCTTTCTCCCTGGGGACAGAGTGATGGTACTCTCAAAGAGCCCAGCAGGATTATGACCCATGCAGCGGTAAACTCCAGCCTCAGCGACGGACGGGTTGCTAATAACCAGAGAGCCATCAAGCCGGTGGAAAAACTTAGAAATCCGAGCACCGGTGTGCAGAGGAGTGCCATCAGGTAAGATCCACGTCAGATGAGTTAACTCCAAGCCATCGATGGTACAGTTGAGGGTGACGGAGTTCCCCACTCTCAGTGCAAAGCTTTCTTTCTCGGGGGCTTCAATCTTGGCCCCCCTGACCGTTTCCTTTACTTCCAAATGGACCAGCATTCGGACCTCCCCTCCTTCATTACGAGCCACACAGACCATCTGTCCTGAGTCTGTCCTCTGGGTGGATCGTATTTCTAAAGTACCGTTCGGATGAACGGTCCTGTGATTGCTGTAGTACGGCGCAGGAAGGATGACATTTCCTGGCAGAATCCACATGACCTGAGGGGAAGGGGCTCCCTTTGTGGCACAGTCCACCAGCGTTCTCTCACCCTGAACCGCGGTCACCTCCATAGTGTCGGAATCTCCTCTTAAGCCATTGATAACTGGAGGAGTTGGCAAAACCTCCACTCGGGTAACTTTATCGTCTTGTCCGACGCTGCTTCTAGCCAAACACGTGTAATTACCTCCATCGGGTCCCTGAACCTTTTGAACAACTAGTGACCCGTCTTGAAGAACCTGGTATTTGTTCGAGTCGGGGGATATGAGTCTGTTCTTAGGGGACATCCAGGTGACGACTGGTACCGGGTCGCCAATGGCCTTGCACTGGAGTGTTACTGTCTTGCCGTGAAGAACTTGGACGGTCTTTGGACCTTTATCCTGGATTTGGGGTCGTGTGGTTCCACCTTTCACCCTGACTCGCACCTTCATCTCGTCTTTGCCGAGTTGGTTCTGTGCATAGCAGATGTAATCCCCTTCCTCTGGCAGTCCGACTTCATTAAAGTACAGCGTCCCGTTGTCGAACACCACATACCTGCAGGGAAAGGGGAGAGAGGAAGCTGTTAGGGATCAATTTACTGGACTTGGTGAGATTCGGGCAGAGCAAGAACGTACTTTGACTAAAGAGCAATGGCACACACCTGCGACTGCGCCCCCCACCGACCCTTGCTCTCTGCTTGACGGGGTTGACCATGGTCCCATCGGGTAGAGCCCAGCTGATCTCAGGGCTGGGGAGGCCAGACGCCACGCAGTCCACCTTCAGATCTTGGCCTCGAATAACCTCCTGACTCGACTTCTGCATCTTCTGCTCAATCTTGGCAGGTTTGGTCAAGACGTTGACCCTGAGCTGAATGTAGTCATCGCCCATCTTGTTGCGGGCGACGCACAGGTAGTCGCCTCGGTCCTTGTCAGTCACTGAATGGATGCTAAGGCTGCCGTTCAGGAACACCTTGATCCTGGAGTCAAAGCTGCACAACACAGACAGAACAGCATTGAAACGATCTTCAGATTATTCCGAACGTTTCAACTCGCTCGATCTGCAAACTCGTTCCGTTCCTCACCTGAACTGATGATCTACCAGCTTTTTAGAGGGCGTCCTCCAGATGATCCGAGGCTCTGGTTCCCCTGCCGCCACACAGTTCAGAAGCAGCGGACTCCCGTAGGTCACATCCGTCGTCTTTGGAGAGGAGGCTGTTATCGTGGCTTTAGCAGAAGACGGTTTACTTATGACTCTTAAGATCACTGCTCTGCTGCTGGATGCGGCTGCATTACCGGCTGTGCAGATGTATCTCCCAGAGTCCTTAGAGGCTAATCTCTTTATGTGAAGAGTTCCGTTTGGAAAGACGATAAAGTTCCCTCCGTTGGGTGGATGGGGAGCAGGGAGCTGCATGCCGCCCGGCGCGATCCAGCGAATGATTGGCCGAGTGGCAGTTGAGGCAGCGCAGTGGATGAAGGCAGCGCCGCCCTCTGGAACAACAACTGTTTGGTCTTTCTCCTGCTCAATCAGTGCAGGAACCGCTGATACACGAAGACGTACCTGCATGCCGTTACCTCCAGGCACACTGCATCTGTAGATCCCTGCGTCCATTAAATGGGCGCTGCTTATGAGAAGAGTTCCCATCTCATCTACGGCCACGCGCTGCGGAGGGGAAGGCGCGGCCGCTGAGGTCGCAGTCATCTGGACCGAGTTCGGGAGGATCCACGACACACGAGGATCTCCTGCGACTTTGCACTCCAGTTCAGCCTTCCCTCCTTCGTACACGTGGATGTCTCTCAGTGGAGGTTGATGAGAGACAAGAAGGGTGGTGGTCATGGTGTCCGTACCGTACTGGTTCTGAACTGTGCACAGGTACCGACCTGCATCAGTTTCCTGGGAGTTTCTGATGATGAGGGTTCCGTTATGGTGTACCTCCAACCGCTGCCACCTCATGTTTTTGGCGATACTCACTCCTGCACAAACACAAGCAAATGACACAATTGTTAAAGGGAAAGCGCCTTCCTAGTAAAACGCTCCATCTCAGGTAAATTACGTTCAAAGTTCTGAGCTGGATTTCTCTCCAGGCTTTGACTAGGCCTTTCTAACCCATGAACCTGATTCTATCCAACCAATCTATGGTATCTCCGTCTAGATTCGACCCGCCGTCCCACACCCAGGTCTTCAGTCTGACGTCCATCTTCCCATTAATTTATTCATTTATTATTTATCTGACCAGAACATCGCAACAACAAATGTAGAGCTTGAGCAGTGAGGAAATTATTTTAATTCCAAAAAAACCTCTGATGTGGGTGAGGTTATCGGGGACCGGGCCCCCAACCCGTCCGGGTCAGGCAGGTCTGGACACCAAAACAAGCTCTGCTTTTTAATTGATCCCTGAAAGGAACACATGAAATACATCTGCTCAGTGTGTGATGCCATTTTTAAAGGAAGACGTCCTAAAGGAGAGCAGGATCGTCTCCACGGTGAAGAAAAACCTGCGTTTTGATCGGCAGAGTTCTGTTAGCTATCGTAGCGATTTCAAATTACTGAAATAAAGTTAAATTAACGAAAAAAAAATTAACCCTAATCAGTTTATCTTAAAATAAGTGCAGTTTTTCCTGGTTCGAGTCAGTAAATGAGACACTTGGCCGATGGAACAAGACAATTTACATAAACAATTTGAAAAATTTGTTTTTGCAGTGCATCACTATATAGAGCGGGGAGTCTATAGTGAACATTATAGTGAACTAAGTAAACTGACCGTTCAGACAGATGATCACTGCTTTTCACTCCCAGTTGGTCAATTAACTCCGCCTCCGTCGGGCGGTTCCTGCGCCATCTTTGTTATCTATTAATGCTACAACAAATCCCATGATGCTTTGCGAGGAGAACTCTCTTTGCAAAGCATCATGGGATATATCTGCTCATTTAGTGACCATGAATGATCGATACTTTTAAGTTGCATTGTGTGAAATTTGGAGACTGGTATTGTTTCATCCACTGGACATTCGGACACTCGTCTAAAATGGCGTAACCCTATAAGGTCATTAAGGCGGACGTTTGGACACAAACTTTGCCTTCACTGCAAAACCCATCTAGAAATAAATAAGAAATGTCTTAAATTAAGTGTATTTAGCCTTAATCTGAGCTGGTATATAAGAGAATCTTCCAATGAAATTTGCATTTTTACCACTAAAATAAAATAATCAGATAAAATGCCCTTGAAATAAGACGCTAATAAGAATTTTTAATGTAAATTGTCTTGTTCCATTTTCAAAGTGTCTCACTTAACTCCTCAATTTAAGATAAAAAGCACTTATTTTGTGTTAAAGGAATAGTACAC